GCTGGTCCATCTCCCTGTGCTGCTCCATCTCACAGTGCTGCTCCATCTCCCTGTGCTGGTCCATCTCCCTGTGCTGCTCCATCTCACAGTGCTGCTCCATCTCCCTGTGCTGCTCCATCTCCCTGTGCTGGTCCTGCTGGCACGTGCTCCCACCTGACGAATTTATCCCACTTCAGCTCCCACCCTGCCCCACGCTCCAGGCATTGCATCCCCACAGACACGGCTCTTCTTCTTGTGACCCTGCTCTGGCTGGCAACCTTCCACTGTATTTCAGGAATGATCTCCCTTGACATGTGGGGAGCACCACAGCCAGCGTTTCTCTTTGCAAGATGGTTTTCACAAGTCCCAAGCACCAGGAGAATGCACCTGTGGTTTCCTTACACAGTGAGCCCTTGCCTCCCCACACCCTCCAGTCCCCTGGGGCAGCAAGCACCCACACCAGATGTGTCCTCAGCTCTGCTTTGCTGTGTGCAGGGCTTCTTCCAAGGGGTTCTGCCTGGTAAAAGTGCCAGAAGTTTCTGTTTCTCTTCTGTTTCTTACAGGCGTGATTTACTTACTGTAGCTAGCTATCCTGTTATGTCCTGCACTGCATTATTAACTTGGTGATTGTACATTTAGCAGAGAATTTATGAGAAATGAGGAGACATTCATTATCAGTAACACCACAGACTTTACTCTTATATGGTCTCTGTGCACGGAGCTTGGCCCAGCCAGCACCCACCCAGCTCCAGCCATTCCCTGGGCTGCTCTGCACAATCCTGGGGCTGCTCTGCACACTTCTGGGGCTGCATTCCCCTCACTTAGGCCAGTCCTTATTTTTTCCCCTATTAAAATATTTTCTGATGGAATTTAACTGGCTTAATTGTGCAATCATGCCTTCTGTTGTCTGAAAACCAGTATGTTTTCCCTGTTTTCAGGCAGGGAGCTGTGTGAGGATTGTCTGAGACATATCTGTGCTTCCCAGCAAGAGAACTGCAACAGAAATGCCCTTAAAATACCCTCCTTATCCTGAACCACTGACCTGGGGACAAATATCCGCTCCTTCCTGTACCTCTGAAGTGGGGACAAGTACCTGCCCTGTCCTGACCACAGGAGGAGTCACAAGGAATGGAGATGGCCAAGTGAAGCTCTTGGGGTTTGTGAGCAAAGGCTACAGCATCCTGCCGTGAGATTTGGACAAGTGTTCCCAGATGTTCTATTAAAGAAACAACAAGCACAGAAAAGCCCAAGCAACGGCCAAACAAACAGAAATTTCAGGTGGAGGCCCAGAGGCACACAAGCCCCACTGGAAAGAGGCTGTAGGCAGGCTGGAGCCAGGGCAGGCACTGCCATTTGCACAACCTGGATGTCTGACAACCTCCCAGGAATTTGGATTCCAAGAGCAACACAACGAAGCAGCTCCTCCTTGACCTTAGAGCCATGCCACAGCTGTCTCTGCAGAGCCCTCCACCTTGGACACCTTTCCTCCTTGGAAGCCTTTCCCAGCAGACAGGGCCATTTCTGGCTCCTAAGAAGGGCTGAGGTTCCCCAGCTGAAGGCTGGTGGCAGCCGTGAAGTTCCAGATTATGGAAGCCAGGGAAAGGATGGGAAGAGCAGAGATGGCTGGAGGCTCCTGGATATTTCCCATTCTTAGGTTTTCACTGAATGACCTGAAGACAAAGCAAATATCTAAATCTATCTAGATGATCATCATCTATCTATCTATCTATCTATCTATCTATCTATCTATCTATCTATCTATCTATCTATCTATCTATCTATCTATCTATCCATCCATCCATCCATCCATCCATCTATCTATTTAGCTAGCTATTATATCTCACAGGTATCACAGGATATTCTGAGTGTAACTTTCTGAATGTCCCATGCCTGGCTGAGAAGGATGCTCCACGGGGCTGCTGCATCCTCTGATCCCAAATGGGTGTCACAGACAGAGCAGGCTTTGGCAGCAGCCCGTGGAGGGAAAGCTATGCAAAACATGCCCCAGGGGACTGCCAGGCATGCCGGATTACCTTCTTTGGAGTGGTTTGGGAGGTTATATTAAGGCAAAGCAAGTTCTCTGCAAGAGTTTGTGGTGCTGGCACTGGTGGCCCCAGCTGGCCCAGCACCCAGGGCAGCCCCAGGCTCCCTCCACTCCTGCCCCAGAGCTGCCAGCTCCAGCTCCCTGGCCAGTGCTGGGGCTTTCCTGCCAGCAGAACCCCCTGCACCCCTTGCAGCCCGAGCCTGTCACACCAGGAGAGGCAGAGCACAATTAGAGATGTGGCTGTGCCTCTCTGCAGATGCTGGGGATGGGAATTAATCCTCCCATTAGCGGGTGAAACGGAGCATTTGCGTCTCACAAAGCAATTACACAATAATAGCAGGAGAACGATGACAGAAATCACATCTTCTCTGAAGTTGCTCTCCAATCCAACACATGAATAATTCCTCCTAGGCATTACTGGGAAAGCAGTATTAAAAGACCCATATAAACAAAAATTACTGGAAAAAAAGACGAGACATGCTTCATCGCTCTGTCAGAGCCAAGCACAACTAAATTTATACAAAGTGGGCAGGGAAGCTTGAAGGGGCAAAGACATTTGTTACTGCTCTGTGTGAGATGAGCTCACAAGGAACGCGTGCTTGATCTTGGCAGCTTTCTGATGTCTTACTCCTAAAGCATCAGCTTTAGTCTTGGTTTCCATGGCAGATACTTTTCTGAGCTTGTATCTTCCACAGATATTGCTAATTTATGCTGTCAGCCACATCTCTGCAAATACCTGCAGAGTGATTCCATGTGCAGTGGGAGTGGTGAAAACAAGGCGCACGTGAACCTGCCTCAGCTCTTGTTTTTTACCAGGGGACAGAAAAGGGTTTGTTTTCTTCAGCCAGAAGATTTTGGCTGATCTTCTGGCACTGAATTTTGCTGCAAGTACCCTGACACTCTGTTATCTGTCCTGTGAAGCAAATCACTTTCAGCATTTCATCTGGACACGTGTTTCAGGCAGGTTTTCCCCCGGTGCTCGGGACAGCTCTGAGCAGGAAGGGTGGGGCAGCACATGTGGCCCTGCTTCCTTCTGCTCCCCCATCACATTTCATGTTAGCAGAGTCTATAAACCACGAGATCTTTCCCAGGCAGAGATCCAGCCACACCAAACCTGTCCTATTTTCAGGGTGGATTTATCAGCCCTGCAAATGTTGCAGCTGATGAATTGGTCTCACCAATTTGGCAGCACAATGGCAAGGTGAGAGGCTGCATGTCTGGCTTTGCAAAGCTGTTTTTATACACTGAAGCACAGAACATCCAGGACACACAAAAGAAGTTGTGAAAAATGTGTAACAAGTATCTCACACAATGCCAGAAGCACGGGAAGTGGTGGCATGTGCAGAGAGAGCTCATGCAGGAGCAAAGTCCTGGCAGCAGTGGGGAAGTCCGTGTCCTGGCAGGATACGGTGACTGCAGGGTTCGGGGCTGTTGCAGGACGTGCCCAGCAGCACCAATGGGTGCGTCCCAGTTCCCAGGTAGGCAAGTGGCCAGACACTGAAATGAGACCACTCCCTCTCCTCAGGATAGAAGCCTGGCAAGTCCTGGCCAGCTGGAAGTTGATCTGAGCCCGGAAGGAGCTGGACTCGCCAGTCATTCTGGGGCCCAGGCAGCCACCTGCCCTGCTTGCACTTCACCTGGTGAGCAACAATTCCCAGCTAATCCCCTTCTCCTTCTGAGCCAGCACAAACATCTATACCTGGGCTTCAGGTGAGTTCAGCTCCTCACTGGCTTCCACTGGAGGGGGTGTATGGCTCAGACATAACCTCTCCCTCAGTCTAAACTGAAGTTTTAAAGTGGAATTAAGAGCATCTGGGTGATGTTTCTTTAGATCTGTTCTTCGGTGTTGTCAGAGGTAATTTCTGCAGCTCTCTGGTAAAAAGGAAAGCCCCTGGTCCGAGTGGGATGGGGACAGAGGTTGTTCCTAGAGTCTTTCAGCAAGGGTGACTAACAGGGTCAGCAACAACAGTAAACAAACTTCTAGTTTTCCAAACAGAGCCTCTGCAGCATCCGGCTGCTTTAAAACATTAACCAAAATACACTTACCTCTGGCTCCTGGCCTTAAGTGACTTTTGAGCCCACAGCTATTCTGGGCCAGACTTGACAGGTGTCTGAGCCCAGCAGGAGCTGGGTCAGAGCCCTGTCCGCTGGGTATCTCAAGTGAGAAGGGACCCATAAGGGTCACTGAGTCCAGCTCCCTGCTCCTCACAAGAGCCAAAACTAACCCATATGACTAAGAGAGAGTCCTCCCAGCCCAAGGGCTTGTCATTGTCCAAGGGTGGTGTGGAGAGCACACACTCTTTTTGGAGCAGAGGTGAGTTTTCTTTCCAGCACTAATGAGCATTAAATTTAAGCAAGAGGACACTGCAGGCAGGAGCAGGGCAGTGAACTGAGTTCTCCGTCCCCCCCTGGGACCATTGCCATGTGCAGCTGGGCAGCTGAGGGTGTAACACGCAGAGAAGTCACCCCAGAGGATGTAATGGATCACCTGCCTTTGGGACAGCACTTGTCAGAAACTGCAGCTCTGTGCACTAAAGATGAGTTGCATCTGCTGGGAAGGAGCAGAAAGGAGCTCATGCCCAGACAGGAGAAGTCTGGCAGTGTTTGCAGTGGAGACTCCAGCCTCTTGCTAGCATTGCAACAGTCCTCACCTGGAGTTTTACCTGTTTATGGTACGATACATGGTGCACGCAGTGCTTTTCCCATGCAGCAAGGGCAGGAGTGGAGTTCGGGCTATGCTGGCTCAGGTCCCACAGCGATGGTTGAAGCCTGGTCTGTGATGGGTAAAGGAAAAAAAAAGCCATTTCCGTGGCAGAAGCAGAGAGAACTTTTCATCTGGTCCGCACGACAGGAAAGTTGGCAACTTAAATGTTAAACTTGCCTGTGACTGTTGGGTGTTGACATCATCGTGATCTCACCGCTGTAACCGGAGCCCTCCAGCTTTTCCTCCAGCCTGCCTTTAAAAACCAGTCCTGGAGGCAGCACAGCACCCATTCCTCCGACTGGCGCAGGACCCACATCGATGAAAGCGAAGCCGAGCTCCAGCGCTCCAGCCATGTCCACATCACTGCGGGTGAGCCCCTCTGTCCACGGCTACCGCTTCGACACCGCCCTGCGCAAGAAAGCCGCGGCCAACATCTTCGAGAGCATCAACGAGGCGTCCCTGCAGAAACTCTTCAAAAACTCCGGGGACAAGAAGGCGGAGGAGAGAGCCAAGATAATCCTCGCCACCGACCAGGACATGGAGGAGAAAACGAGAGCACTAATGGCACTAAAGCAGAGGAGAAAAGACAAACTGCTCCAGTTTCTGACATTTCGGAAATACCCCATTAAAGTTCACTGAACTGGCAGAGGGAGCAGAAATGGAGAACATTTGGTTACGGGACTGTTCGTGACCTCCTGCCGCACGCAGCGTGCTCCGCTGCCCCGTGGGCCTGGGGACCTGCCAGGCCACGCACAGGGCTCCAGCCCTGCCACGAACTGCAGCTGGCAGCGGCATCGGTGTCTGTGGGACATCGGTGCCCGTGGGACATCGGTGCCCGTGGGACATCGGTGTCTGTGGGACATCGGTGTCTGTGGGACATGGCAGTGGCAGATCAGTGCCCGTGGGACATCAGTGCCCGTGGCACACGGCTGTGGCACATCAGTGCCCGTGGCACATCAGTGCCCGTGACACACGGCTGTGGCACATCAGTGCCCGTGGGACACGGCTGTGGCACATCAGTGCCCGTGGCACGTCGCTGTGGGCAGCAGACTGGTGGCCAGAGGCTCCCAGGGACAGCAGCTCCCTGCTGGAGGCAGAGCAGCCCTCGGGCAGCCGTGGGACGGAGCTGGGGGAGCCCACACACCCCGCTGTGACTCGGGACTGTCTCGATGGACTTGGTGCTCACGGAGCCGGTGCTTTGCCTGCTCAGCCTCGTTTCCTTACAGCATTTCCTTACAGCCTGAGCCCGTGCAGAGCCCCGCTGCTCTGGACACCCAGCAGCTGCTGCCCACGGTCACTTTGCATCATGAAATGCACCCAAAAGCGTGGGTTCAGCCACCCGGGCACGCATCCAGAGACACTCTGCACAAATGAACCTTTCCTTCCCAAGCTGTATGTGTGCAGTAAAAGTCGTTTGCACAGAAGCAATAATAATGACAGATTTCCCTGAATTTACTGTGAAGTTCCCTAATATTGTGTTCACTTACCACTAACTCTAAAAATCTAAATATAATAACTACAGTTCTTCTCTGTGTAGGTTACAGTCACTATTAGATGAGTATTTACTTCACAGCAATATTTTATGACAATGTTATTATTATCTCGACTATAATTTATTGCATACAATGATGTGAAAACTAATAAATTATGAAGTAAATATAAATGATCTTGTCTGAAATGCTCAGTTGTCCTGCAGTGGTGGGGTTAGATGTTTTTTCACAAAGGGAGCAGACTACCTGCATCTCTCCTTTATGCCCCAGGTATGGCTTTGGCAGCGCATTCTCAGGACGTGGAGCAGCCCCTGGCTCCCCCATGGCCCCACTTGGCAGCCTCAGCTTGGCCCACATTTGCTGTGGCAGAAAGGCCTCACCAAAGTCATTGTTAATCAACCCAAATATCAGTTTCCCCTCTGCATCTTCTGCAATGAGGAAAGAAAGGTGTAGAAAATGGTTTGGGGCCGGGGTGGGGAGCACAGCTCATCAGCCTCTGACATTTCTGCAGAGAAGGAACCTGGGCTTGACTCCTTATCACCCAAAGAAACAGAAGTAAATTATGAAGTTTTGGCAGCAGAATGGGACTGTTTTTCTGCAGGTTATGCTGTACTATCATGATAGAGGATGCTGAAAGTACTTAAAAATAGCAAAGACTGGTTATTTATAAGTCTGTCCTCTAATAACCTGATGGTTTAGATAAAAACATTCCCATGACTCTGCTTAGAGCAACAAAGATAAAGCAGTTTGGAAGAGTGATAGCCCAGCTACAGTTTTTTTGACTACAGTAAGAACTCCAAATTGCCAATAAGTCAGGGAGACTGGAAATAATCTTTTAAGTCACATAATATAATGGGCAATTACAATTTTTATAGCTGGAGTGGGATGCACGGTGATTTCCCCTCCCAGGAAGACCAGAGAGTAAACTGGTTTGGGATGAAGCTGTTTGAAAGCGCTTCCAAAGGCTTTTCAGAACTCTCTTGCTCAGAAAAATCTGTCTCAGAGCAGGTTTGCTGCAGAGGAAGTTGCCAGTTTTCCAGCATTTGACCTCTTCCAGAGCAGCATCCCACGCTGGCTGCAGCTGCTGCAGGCGCTGGTGACACATCCCCACAAACCATGCACAGCGCCAAAAATTGCCTCAAATGGGCTGTTTCCAAAAGAACAGGGCCACTCAGTGCCTGCCCACAGCCCAGCCCTGGGCACGCAGCCCCTCTGGGCCCCAGGGATGTCACACAGCTCCTCCTGCCTCAGGGGCAGCTCCTCCTGTGACAAACACTTCCAGCAGAAGCCAGTGGGGCAAGGAGCCCTAAGCCCACCTCCCTCTGGGGCATGTTACCTGCCAGGACCTGACCAGCCTGCTGCTAAGGATGCTCTGAGAACACCCTGCAGGGACCAGCTCTTCACCATCCTGCTGCTTCCCTGGGCCTGCTGCTGGGGCTTTGCTCCCTGCTCCCCTGTCCTGCATCCTTGAGGTGTCCACAATGCACCCCCTGTGCCAGGGCCAATGCTGGATTTGGCAGAGCCTTGTCACTCTCTGAGCCCCCAAAAGCAAACTCAGGTCCCCAGTGCCACCCGGGCAGCCCGGGCTCTCAACTGTCAACAGCCCTTCCCTGAATGAAGGAAGCAAATTTGGCAGAAGCCATGCTCGTGGCAGACTGAAATCAACAGCCACTGAAGTGCTGCTGGCATGTCCCAGGATTGCCCAGTCAGTCCTGTTCACAACATCTGCATCACACAGCTGATAACATCTGCTGGCTTGGGGACTTTATAATCCCTTTTGTCTCATTACATTGAAATTATGAGCCCAAGTGGTATCCCTGATAAATAAAGGCCACTTACTAAGAAGTTATGTGATTATTGGATATTTAGAGTGCAAGAAGGGCAGGTCACCCGGCAGTGCTGTCACAGGGCAGAGCTGTCACCCGCAGTGGCAGCAGGACAGGGCGGTGCCGGTGCCGCAGACTCGGCGCCTGTGGCCGGCGCACGCCGCGCTCGGGCCAGCCTGGCTGCACCCCGGCCAGCCACAGCCCCATTGTCAGCATCCCCACACAACAAACAGAGGAAAAGGCTGTTCAAGGAGCTTCCTCCCTCCAGGAGCCAGGCGTTTCCATTAATTCTTCTCCATGAGTCAAACTGGCTGTACTGGGTGTCCCCCGTCCCAGCATCCTGAGGAACATCTGAACAGCTAATTTTATCCAGCTTGCCCCGCTCAGCAGCTGTGCTGGGAGTGTGCTGGTGGCTCCCCACCACCACTGCTGGCTGGGGAGAAACCACAGGAAGGTGGGACAGAAACTAGGGAGAAGACTTTTGGCAGATGTTCTGGCTTAGCAGACTGGAGAAGCTGGGGAGCAACTCACAAGGTGCTGGAAAAAGGAAGCCCAGAGCAAAGGGGGTGTCGGTGACAGCACACCACACAGAGGTCCCACCCTCTGTCCCCTCATCAAACACCCATCCCCATTTCCCCATAAATGCCCATGAAAAGATGGGGTTAGAACAAGTCAACAGCTCAGCCTGAGCACAATGTTCAGGAGGAGATGAGGATGTCTGAACAGCCAGTACCGTGACCTTCAGCTTCTGGTGAAATGCAGCACATGAGGCATGAGCAGAGTCCAAAGCAGAGCTGGGTCAGCCCTCAGCCAGCCGTGTTTGTGTGTGGGGAGACAGACTGCTCCAGTCAACAGCAGCACCTCCCTGGCAGCTCCCCTTCCACACCATGGAGCAACAGGCAAGTTAAAAATTAACCACCCGGCTGAGCTTCTGCTCTGCTTCACCCAGAGGGACAAACTCTGCCTTGCAAAGCAGCAGAGGAACGGTCTGGGTGCCCCTGGCAGCCCTGGCATAGGGGATGTCTGATGCCTGTGAAAACAGCCACAGATGAAGTGCATTTCATCTGCAGCTGCTGAGGGTAAACCTCTGCTCTAAAGCAGATTAAACGTGAGTGACAAGCTGTAAAGGCTGAGATTTGTGGATGTGTTAGTGTGGTTTTCACAGAAGAGAGCTGGTCTGGGGTTTGAAAGCATGAATGCCTCATATGCAGCAAAACGATGCTCCAGTGTCACTTTGAAGGGACAGACAAGGCTATTTATGAGAAGAAAAGCCTCTATAGTACTGCAGGCAACAGGAGATGGCACAGTTACCATTTATCTTCCCTAAAAACCAAAAGTTGGGCCGTGACCAGAATCTTAACACACAACCCTGAAGAAACCTTTATTCCCTCTGAGCTGCAGCCCGAGTCGGGTCCTGTGGCCGAGGCTGCTGTGCCGAGGGAGCAGTGACATTTCCCGGCTGGGGGTCCCGGCTGGGGGTCCCGCTCAGTGAATCCGAGCTCAGGCAGCGGCACCGCCCGGACCGCGGCTCCTCTGTGCGCATCAGCCATCCCCATCCCCATCCCCATCCCCATCCCATCCCCATCCCCATCCCATCCCCATCCCCATCCCAATCCC